TGGGTGGCTCAGCAAGCAATTTCACAGCAAAGTTGGTTGTCCTCTCAGTCAGCTGAAGCTGTGCAAGAACTACAAAATGTAAATTGACTCCTTTTAGACAACCATGCTATGAATTAGCAATAGGATGAGTAATTTATGACAATATAAACTTTAAAAAATACATTTTATTGTTTATGCTACCAAAGAAACTTAACTATTTGAATTAAGCCATTCTTAAAGGAGAAAGAGGAGAAAAAAGTTCTGAATCAACTGTTCAAACATCAGGTTTCCTGCTTCTGAAATATCTCTGGCAGACTTTTGTGATGGCTAACAGTAATAGTGTTGCTTACAACAGGTAAAAATAACCAGACTAGCACAATGTCTCTGTAAAGTCTCTGATGAGTTTTTATATGACAAACCTTGAACACACTCTGTATTGAATACACTGTCTGCATCAAAGATTTCTACTTTGTTGATAACTGCATATATGGAAGAGCATTACAGGATAGGATGCAGGCAATTTCTGCAACATGCCCCATCTTAAACTTTCATATTTTTCTGCATTGATGAGAAAATGATTGCAAAGCGTAAGTGTAAAGAAGTATTCATCTTCCTGTAGAAATAAAAGGAGATACCTACTAGCATTAGTTTCAATTTAAATGACCTCTGTAAGTTTATTAGCAGCCCATATAACTGACAACAATGCAAAAAGCAACATCTACTGCAAAGACTGCCTGCATACTATAGTCACTACAACTCTTATACCCAGGATGACCAGTTGAGAAAGGAAAGAAAATGGTACTGGGAAGCATGAACACATACACAACACTTTCTGGCCTGACCACTGCTAGCCTCTCTACACTTTGGCCACCTCAGACTAGAAGAAAAAACTTGAATTAGAAAGAAGTGGAGTTGAGCGAGGGGATGAGACCTCATTGCAGGATCCCCAGCAAACATATACTGATGGAGGATATGACTCTCTACACAGAGGAAACAGAGGAGGGAAGTGGACAGGCATACATATACACAGGAACAAAAAATAAGACAGAACTAAAAAGAGAGCAGATACAGAAAAAACAAGGGACAGGAGTCAATACAGAACAATGTAAAAGATTATTGATAGTACAGAGAAATATGAACCACATACTCCCTACACACCAGAAAACAAACTTCCACTTTCGAAGTTCTGAATTAAGCTTTGGTGGCCTGACTGCATACATTTCTTCGACATGACTAATTGCTATAAAATATGGTAGACAGGCATGCCTGTCATTTCTGTCATTCCAGAAGAATTTTTTAAGATAGGGAACCGTAACATGAACTTTGCCTGTTTTGTGCTATCTTCTGACAAGTCTTTACATGAATACCCACCCAATAAGAGCGTCAGAAAAAGGGGTCATGTTAAAAGGTTACATATAACATTACATTAATCCGTGTATGTTTATTCCAATATAATATACTAACATGTTGTGGTTATCTATAACCATACATGTACATCTGTAGATGCTTGTGTTCCATAACAGAGGAACTACTGTACCCAATTTCCTAGCAAAACAGAAAAGATACCTTAAAACAAAAACTTCACCTTTCAACAACATATATATGTCATAAAGCCTAGATTAAGCTTTTAGGGGTTTGTTTTTTGGTTTTGGTTTGTGTTTCTCCCCCCCCTTTTGCTTTTGGGGGCAGGGAAGTAAGAGTGCCTTAATACTAGATTTTTGTTTCTGCAACATAATTTGTTTTCTTTTAAGGCCAGATTCATTTTCTATTAACATTATCTTAAGATGCAAAATTTTATCTTGGCTTAGCCCCAGACTGACTTTCAAGGGAGATGTGTCTTAGATACTATACAATGCAGATATTTTAAAACATTTTCATTCTGTACCAGCTTCGTTCTTCTCTATAAAGAATACTAATAGGATACAAAAGGACTCTGGTGGAAGGAGAGCTGTGAGTTTCCCTCTTTTCATAAGCAAAGTCTATGTTATAACTGTCACAGTGAGAAACCTTGGTAGTATAAGGTAACATTTAAACAACCAACACTCACATAAAGCTGTAGCTGCCCTGACTGTGAAACTGCTTCAGTGGAAAATCTCCCTGAGGAAGTCTAGATATTTCAGACCCACTTGTTCCATAATCCTAGGCCAGAAATAAGACAAGACAAAACAGATAATCAAAAGACCAGAATATGAATACAATTCTTCATCCTAAAATGCACTGATGCATTCCTGCCAAAATTCTCGTAGCTTCAATGGACTCGAACAGTATCCAATAGCTTTACTTGATAAAAGCTTTAGAGTCTCCTCTTCCTTACAGAGAGCCTGGCACCAGATCAGGTGTTTTAACACCAGAGAGGGCAGGCTGAGAAACTACAGATGGCAGCAGAAAACGGGCAGCCACCAACACTGACCTTTTCCACAAGCGATATTAATGCCTGCTTCATATTGCCAATTAACTTTGGTGCTCTTCTGTATGCTCTGGAGAGAGGACAGGATTGGAAACTGATTTTTCTATCAATTTACTATTAAATTAGAAGTTTTATGAACCATGGTCACTCATAGCTATATAACAGCACAAGCTGATTGTAAAGACCACGTTTTACCTCTCTCTCAAAGGCTTGCAGTCATGACTTTGGCAGGTTAAGGAAAACTCTGTTTGCAGTCCTGATACCTTGGTTACTCAGTGACATTGTCTGCAAAGGCAGGTTGTCAGTATTCAGGTCATCAGGCATAACAATTGTTTATTTTTGTTCGACAGGTACCAGGTCAGAAAATTTCAGATGCAAGTGATGAGATTAACACAATTCCTGGCTGGAACATGCATGATGTTTTACACACGGCTAAGTATAAAAAGACTGATTTTGTGACGATGGAGCTAAATCCCTCTTTCACAGAGCCTGTGATCACAATCTGTAGCAGAAACATGTTAAACAACTCTGTGGCTTTACAAAATTAGGCTTACAGTATGAAAATTAAAGGGAAAAAGGTCCTTCACTCCTAGCCAATCTTTCTACAGTTGACACTGCATGGCTGATGATAAAGTTATGAGCAAATTTCACTTTCATCAGGTACTGTTACAGGAAAAAAAATAGGTATAAATCTGAATATAAGACAAGATGAATGAAGCACACTTTCTGAAACTTTAAGGAATAAGTAGTATTTGGCTTTTCAAAGCATTTCACCCAAAAGTCTGTATTCACAATTTCAGGTTTTAAAATACCTTATTTTTATTCTATATGACAAATATTCCTCTAAATGTAAGTTAAACATGGATGTTAAAACACTTAAAGCAATCAGCATCTCTAAAGCCAGATGATTTCCACAATGATCTGCTCTACTGTACTCCATTAAGGTTGGTAGGATAACCTGCACTGATTTCTCCTTCCTTTTAGGATGCTATCCTCATAATCCTGCTTTAGAAGAAGAAAAAAAAACCAAACAGGCTCAAAGACAACTTCAACTTAAAACAGTTAGTAACTCACTCTACTCTTAAAGAGGTTTGGATTATTTCACTTCTCTAAAACAAGAAAATGCTGTCCAGCAGCTCAAGCTAGGTGTATCCTCCAAAAACACTGTCCTTTTTTGTTTTAACAGACCTCTCTGTTCTTATGGGATATATGGAGTCTTGTGGATAACTTGATAAAGCAGTAGCAAAAGAACTGCTTGAAACATTCTTATTACTACACTAAAATTGCCCTAGTATTTGTGCTGTGCTCAGTGTTGACCCTCACAACAGAGAGCACAACAGATATCCATCCAACAGTTTGAGTGGTTGCAGATGCAAAGTGCCAGAACGTAGAAGTCTTTCTTTAACCTGATATGGTACAGTGAGTTCTTTGTTTAGATGGTTCTGCAAAGGAGAAGATGCAGTATTAAGTCAGTTCTTTAACCAATCTCCCAATTTCTTTACTGTTAAGAAGTGGCAACATCCATATGTTTTGTAGAGTGTAACAATATGGAGCATGCCCAGCTCTTCATTTAGACACGAAAAATTTCAATCTGAAATACAGGTCTTTTGGTCTAACTCCCTGAAGTCTTAGAAGAGTATCATTTGCTGAAAACATAGAGGGAAAAAATCAATGTCATGTATCTTCCCACAAATCAAATGCAGTCTTGTATACAATAGGAGTTTAGACAGCAGAAAAATCTAAAGTTTAAAATAATCTGCAGCCATCCCCATGCCAGCCAAACACACTGCCACCAGAGTATTCCCCTGAAGCCAGTAACTGACAGATAGTGTCTGCCCTAGACACAAGCAGCATGAAGTGACAGATTTGTACATTTCAGAACCAAAAAAGCAGTTGAAAGCAAAAATACATTAAAGTAACATTGTAATATGATTCCTTGATTCTGAAATCATAGCACAAAGTATCCTTGTATCCTTGGCTAAACCAAACAGCCCAATGACCTCTTCAGAATTCTCACAAGCATAAACACAAATCACAGCTCTAAGCATCTGCATGACATGGACTCAAGTGTAGGCTTTGGGTTTTCTCTGGTTTTAGAGAAGACGGAGGAGAAAGAAGGGGCTGAAAATCTTTTGACATTTATAGTGCTGCTTAAGCAAAAGCCTTATTCAGAAGGGTCTCTATTTTGTTCTCAGTGTCATTCTTCCCTACAGGTTGGAACACAGTTCTACACCTTCTGGACAAATAAACAGTATTACTTTATTTTGAAACAGAATTCAAGCCTATCTGAAAATTAGATATAAACATACTTCTAAAATGCTATGGGTAAGCACATTTTACAAATAATTCTGCTAAATGAAACTGTATATTTAAAACTTGGTTTTCAATGCCTGAATGGCCAGATAAACTGAGCAATACTGTAGCACATCTGTTAAATTCAACTATATATCATAAGCAGATTCTCTGTTTCTTCCAATTGCTGGAGAAATATGCCAACTAAGTATTCAGATACCTTTGTAAGATGCCTGCTCCTTTGATTCAGCGTCAGATTTAAAAAACAAAGATAACTTACCTTTTTAAAAATCCTTTTAATAAAGAAGTCATTGATTCTTACCTTAATTACTATTTCACATCACCAGTTTTCTATTATTGTAACCCAACTTCAGTACTATTTAAGGTCTGGGTTTTTTCTTGACTAAAAAAGAGTGGAATCTTTTTAAAACCAAAATTTACCTGAGAACCACAATCAAAAGCATAGTTAAGAGATTTGCATAATAATATAGTATTTTAGCAAACTTCTGCCAGGAAGGATTACTAGGCTTCATTCAGGGTATTTACAAGATCTGGGATACTTGAGGCCCACTAATTCTCAATTATTGTATAAACAGTTTAACCTATAGAGTTACTCTTAATTCAACTACCTTAGTACAATTATGCCTAATTTTGAAGTCAATTAAAAATAAATTTCACACAAATTTGAACACTTGTAAAAGAAAATGTACGTTCAATTCTCTGCACATACTTGCTCAAATATAGGATCTCTATTACTTTGATAATGCATCAGGTTTCCACACCCAACCATTCACTTTGATCAGAAGAGCAACTTTCTATGTATTTGAAAAGTAAATTAACTGGACACAGACAAAATACTCTTCTAATGAGACACTGCCTTTAGAACAAACAAATTTCCAAGTATGTGTAAGAGTAAAGACATTCCTTATGTAGTTATACATGCTCAATTCAACTGAACTGATTCCAGAGCAAACAGAAACTGCACATAAACAAGCATCTATTTAAGCTACAAGTTCAAACACTGTAGTATTGACTGCCTACTTACATCATGTACACCAAACTATTCCGTAATTGAACACCATCAAAGAATCATAATAAGCATGCTTAAATTGTAATAAATTATTAATTCTCACCCTGCATACAAAAAGCAACTTTTAAAATTCAAATGATCACTTTCAAGTAAGTGCCAAAGAATTAAAGGAAAACTCATTACCAGAATTCAAAATTACATGTTCCCAAGTTACACAATTGTTCATACAACTGCTTTTATCTAAACAAAATTGAACTTTCAGATGTATTTTACATTTTAAGTCAGTTTTTAAATTACTACTTTAAACCAAATATGCCTCTTTAGAGAAAACTAACCTAGGCTAGTCTGGGAGTCAGTAGAAAGACTTAATTTACTAGCAAATTCTGTAATGCTGGAACTTCTGATTAAGGTGCTATTGAATGCTATTTCCAGAAAAAAAAAGGAAGAAAAAAAAAAATTCTTAAATGTCAGAAGTGCAAAATAATTAACAGGAAAAGAATTACAAACATAACTACAGCCAAATATCAAGCTTCTTACAAATTTTTTTAATAGGGAGCGTAGGGCTGCAGTCTACTTCCCTTCTATGCAGACAGACAGAAACATGCAGTTATAAGGTAAAAGAAATGCTGAACACGCAAAGCCATCCATTTTTTTCTCCAGCATATGGTGTCACAACTGAAACACCAAACAAACAACGGCAAACCTAGAAAAAGAGAGGGGGGTTTGCTATTGTTGAACTCCGAAAAACATTAAAAATTGAAACAAGTGAGCATGAGGTACAAAACCCCTTTAACTTCAGGAAATAAGTTTTGGAAGAAAAAAATCCCTTTGTCCAGGGAAGTATTTATTGGCATTAAATGTTTAGCTACAGCACAAACTCTGGGTGCTTCCACAAGAGAAAATTATCACATAGGAAGTCTCATCTCACTGTTTCATAACCACTTTAAACCAGCAAAAATACAGTAATTCTGAAAAAGAATTTGCTTCTCTCTTCCTTAGAATGCTTGCTCCTCCCAATGCACTAGCACAAATGTTCAGGGACCAAGTAGCAAACTGAACATTATTAAAGCTGAGCTTTGATTTACAAACCCTAAATACTAGCTCCCTGATTCACCTCAAAACCCCATGAAACCTTGTGCTGAAATCAAATACAAAACATTGAGACAGAAAAGTCCGGCCAGGGCTGAGAGAGAGAAGTGTTAGATCCCAATGTCATGATGAGATCCCGCCAGGAAGACCTCCAAAGCAGGCTCTCCCTTTAGGTAAGACAGAGAAGACTATTAGAAATTAGACTATCCCATTACAAAAGCAGCCCAAGCCATAAATCTTTGATTCCATTTAGCAGATTTCCTTCTGGGACACACAGGAACCTCATCGTTGCAACCAACTATGCAACCAATAGTTCTAGTTGCAACCAACGTATCTGGTTGATCATGCTTCACTTAGTGTTTTAGACACTCAAGAAAACCAGGTAATGCTTCTAGTCTTATTTTCAATGTTAAATGATAGAAAAATCACTATTCCTGTATCCAAGCAAGGCAGGAATCTAAACCTTAGTGAATAGTTGATTGTTCCCAACTTCCATGAAAACCTTCCTTTCAGTCTCTTCATTTTCTTTTTTATTTGGAAGAATCATTAAGAGTTCTTAGCCTTGATCACAGGAAAAACAAGGCTATCAATCCAGATTAGTTTTGGATGAATTTCAGGGATTAGCAAACAAGATCACAGAACAGAGAAAATAAGCCAAACAGCAGTGCAAACTATACAAAATGCCTATATTGTGCTTGAAAAATCTTAGTATGTTAATGAGATGCACAGAAGTGATGAATTTAATCTAACATCGTGAAAGAACTAAAACATCTAAAAAGTTTGCAATCCTCAGAGATCTCTCCTGAAAAGTTATTCAGCAGAAAGTTTTATGATTCCATGAATATATTCAGAAGTTACTCATCTTTGACTATGTGTAACTTACTCCATAAAATGAATGCAACTTACCTGTACTCAAATATATGCATAACAGCCCATTATAATTCAATCTTGAGGTTTACACCTTAGTAAACGCATTTAATGTTTAAACATTCTTTTTTTCATAGCTAGTGATATACTTAGCCATTACAGGAATCCTAGTTAAATACTGTTTAATACAGCCTTAACACAACAATTTTACTGCTTTTTCAGAATGCATTCCTGAAATAACCATCACAATACTTCCTGAATACCCAGAAATTTTTTTGTAGAGTACCTGTCTACTGCACAGTCTTCTAGTAGCATTCTGTCAGGCTGTACACACTACCAGGTAACCAAGCAACAAAGATGCTCACTACATAACATGGGTTCATAGCTACTCATGAACAAACAACGAGAAACATCAAGTTTTTCTGATTGCTTGACATTTCTTATAGTTTAATAAAAATGAAGATAATTTGCAATTAAGTAACATGTTTGTTTACATAGTTCACAAATTCTACTCTACACAGAAATAACTTGCCCTACAAGTTTAAGTATACTATACACTTGCTGGGAAAACAAAACAAGCCAAACAAAACTCCTCCAAAACCAACTGCAGGAAAAAAAAACGACTTGGGGAAAGCAAACACAAGAAAGGTCTAAGCAAGTGTAACTGCATTGCCCCTAAGCATGTAGATTTTTAATTTTCTGAACACACTAAATAGCTTGTATCATAAACAGCTTCATTTAAAAATAAGTGCCACATAAGAATGCAGCAGCCATCTTAACTATTTTTACTGATGGCAATATAACCAACAGTGGCAAAAAAGTATATAAACATGCTCAGTTCAGAAAGTAGTGTTCAGGAACTAATTCAAAGTATCAATAACCTTTACTATAAACTACTGCTAACAAAGATTAAACTCAAATATTCTGTGAATGGACAAGTGGATACAATTGACCAATAACTATGTTCAGGCAAATTTATTCAGAGTAGCCCCAAAGCAGAAATATGCTGCTGTCTTGAGAGCACAACTCTTCCGTAAGAAACATCTGTATTTCCTAGATTCTGTGTTCTATCCCATAATAAAAACATAAGAACAAGAGATACTGAAATGTTAATGTCATAATCACTTTTTCCCTCCTGAATCAAAGACTATAAATCAAAGAAAAATACTTAAACCTGTTCCTCTTCTTCTTCTCACACTGAGTACTTATGAAAACCTGACCTTTCAGAAAACAAGAGACATTAAGAGAATTCTTTAGACTTCTTTGCAGAAAGATGGACTAAATGATCTATGATGCAGATTTGAACAGGAGTCAATGAGAGACAAAAAAAAAAAAACCCAAACAAAAAACCAGAAAAAGACCGGGGTTTTGCTGTTTGGGTTTGTGCAGGTTTTTTAAACTGAATTCATAGGAGAATAGTCAAACTACTTTTGATCTTTTCCTGCCAGTTCCCTAATGCCAATTCCTCTTCACTCAGTTTTTAGAGAGATCAATTCCGTGAACAGCAATCCCCACAGGGACTGCTTCCATGGGTCCAGAACTGGCAATTAAAAGTTTTCTCCACCTCCCCCAACCACCAGAAGAGTAACCAGAATTTTCTCTTTGAGAAGATATGGATTCCTTAAAATGTGTGAGAAGGAGCTCTTTCCTCATCTTTTCTGTTGTTTCTAGGAGGGGAATCCTCCATCAGACTGAAGACACCTGTCCACTAATGCTGTGTTTTGACCTCTCACTAATGGATGTACATGAGAACAAACTGCACCAGGACTTCTGAAAATGAAAAGCCCAGAACTGAAACTGGCACAGATAAGAACCAAACAACACAAGCCTTGTACCCTGATCACATCTTGGATGACATACGCTCTTAAGAGACTTGTCATGTGTTTTTGTTACAACTTTTACAGAAAGTGGTCTCAGTTAGGGAAAAGCAGTTTTCAAGTGACTGAGTTTCTCCAGAAATAGAAGTACTGTTTGTCACAGTACAAGCGATGTCTGTGTTGTCGGTACTAGTGCCTCACTGAGTAACAACAGGAAAGATCAGTGAAGATCCCTCCATGTCAGCATTACTACAGGAAGATGTCATCCAGCTAATGGTACTAAAACCATCAAGGCCTGCTGTACGGAGTTGCTGAGAGCAAGTTTCCTTCTTGTCTTTGGAAAACTTACAAGTTGTCCTCAACAGAAGCCACTAATTCATCACCCTCTTACAGACCCCTTTCTCCTAGATGAAGAGATTCTATTTCCACACTTTGTGCCTTTTGGACTCTCTTCTATCTTTCTTAAAAAAATAAAATACCACAGAAAATAATTTCTAATGACAGATCAAAAGAGACGATCTCACTTAGGTCTCTCTTAGGCCTAAGGTAAGGCTACCTTCAGCCTCATTCACTTCAACTCCCAAATCCAGAAAG